CCTGGACCATGTCCAAGTATATGTCCAATATCCATGTCCAGTCCAATGGTGTTAAAATGGGTGGACATATGTCCAATACCAACACTGGGTTCGAGACCATAGATCTTGGTCCAAGACCACCGATAATGGTTTGGGATTCAAGATTTTAGTCTCGGTCCATTAGAATTTGAAAGTATAACGACTAAACTAGAGATGGGTTTCATGCGTGCGCGTGATTCCTCAATCGTGCGCATTAATGCGCATGATTCGGAATCATGCGCATTTTATCTCATCTAAATTTTATATAGGAAAATTAAGTATATTTAATTTAGGCCAAGGTGTATAATGCCAGGCAAAATTAAGAGATAGAAATGCAGAAGTTTTGAAAAATTCCGATAAGAAAATGAATGAACATAAAGATAAGAAGGGTCGGGAAAAAATTTGGCGAATATCCGATATTTTCCGGAGGGAAAATATAAAATCAAAAAAATTATATCATGCGATATCATGCGCATTTTATATACAGTAACGTGCGCATTAATGCGCATTCATGCGCATGTTATTATAAAATGCGCATTTTTCCCATCTCTAGACTAAACTAATAAAGAAAAGGAAATTTCGATGAGTCATAAATGAGGTAATAAATAATATACCTTATGAATCGTATACCAACTACATTCCTTATTAACCCGCTATTAAATCCGAATCCTTGATAAACATTCATCTCGCATAACCTATATTTGTAACCCTGAGCTAACTTGACCTCATGTCAGCCAAGACTCTCCCACGGTTATAACATTGGTCTACGTGATTCTAATCATCACGCAGAGCACAAATCTTAAAATGCCGAGAGATTTCAGTTTACACGTGACAATTTCCGGTCCGATTTTTAAACAGCCGGAAATTTCCGTTCGTAGTTAATAAAAATATTCCATCGCTAACGATGATATGGGATCTTTGCTAGGAAAATAATCCTTCGGGATTTTCCGGTCGGGTTAATTCGTAAAGGCTTAAACTAGAATGCCGGTTCTTATTCATATGTAAACCATCTTTTTACTTTATTGATTCGACAGTTTATTTAATGAACTATCGAATCAATAAAGCAAAAGGTGATTTAGATATGAATAAGAACCAGCATTTTAGGTTAAGTTTTAGCAAAGATCCTATATAATATGTAATATATACATGATTTGTCAGGTATGGTATCTTACATTTGTACGTTGTAAAGGTAAAACGTGACTTGGGATAAATTTTTCTGTAAGTGGTGGATTAGATACATATTTACTGATTAATGTGGCGCATTTATTCGATACAAATTTGTATCTAGGTTCAATTTTGATCCAGCTAAGCGGGTTCAAATTTGTACCTATTCGTCCAAGCCAGGTACGAATTTGAATCATTCGTCTAAGCAGGTACCAAAACGACGACTTTCTATCGAATTTGTAGAATAGAAGCTAATGTTGTGGGCGAAATTGGGGGTTCATTTCCGAAATATTTCGGATTTTTGATAAGTAATCCGAAATAAAATCCTAAATTCAGAAATCAAGAGGAAATCCGATATAAATCCGATATAAATTAATATATGGGCGGTCAAATGTAGAAACCGCCGAATTTGACCTTTTTTTAAAAAATGAGTTTTTAGATTATTCAGATATAATTTTTAATGCTAAATCTTTTTTATTGGATAACGAAAATATAATAAATTAGTAAATAGTCATTTAAAAACTTTTACATGGTAAAATGGCAAAACCTAAAAATAAATCAGTATCTAACATCACACAATTGTTTATATTTGACCATGGTAGATCTACAAAAATTAGCCAATTAGTTGAAATAAAATACAGGTTTATAATTTGGAATTGTTATTTTTAGGTTTGTTTATTTCGTGTAACAAAATATGATTTGCCAATTATCTCAAAACTCATGATCATCAAAATTTGGCAGTTTCTACTTTTGACCACCCAAATATCTAATATTATTAGAGCTAGATGATATTTTAACTTATTATATGAGAGATGACAAAGTAGTAGCAGAATAAATTCACGATCAAGTGATGGCTGATACTTACAAACCCAGCTCAAAAACTTTATACAATCGAATATCGGATATATGTACTACATAATATTTAATATTCAGTTGTTGAAAAAATGTATAAATTTTGTATAAAGTTTTGAGCTGTATCGAAGGGGTTCAGAAGCATTGGCGATCACCTTATCATAAATTTTTTCTGTCACCACTGTCATCTTTATATGAGTGTTATTAAAAAATAACCTGTTGTTGAACTTTTATGTGGAGTGATAGTAGATCATGTGATTAAAAAGAGAAATACCTCAACTTCCAGCCTTGGAATGCCCACACATGTGAAATAATCAAATAGTGTAAGAAATTCACACACGGATATGAATAACACATGTTAATAATATATATGTCAGTGCAAACCAAGAAGAAACAAGAATAGGTGTTGAAGAAGTCAATCAAATATAAGAATCAAAAAATGGCAGAAAATAAACAACCAGTATTCGAACTAAAATTTTTATGAAGCATGGACAAACCTAGTAAAGCACCAAATATTAACCCAAAGATAAAAATATATGTTGGTGACACATGTAATAAGGCCATATTAACACTCTTTGATAAAGTAAAGGAACTGCTAAACCAGCAAAGGGAAAGTCAACAACAATAGAATGAGAAATTGCAAAATACAATAAAAAATCATTTTAACTAGCTCAAACAAGCCAATTGGACTAGCACAGAAAAAAAACTAGTGAAAATCAACTACTACAAGAGGACCATACATCCCCAGTGACAGTAAACTCAATAGATATACAGGAACTCCCAACACAAGCTAATTACCTTTCTATTCCAATTCTTAACAATATAATTGCAAACCTGACACCAATAGAAGTAATAGGAGAAGAAAGTAATAAACAAAACACAAAGTAAATCTAGATCAATTAAATAAACAACCAAGAATTAAAGACGGAAGCCATAGGTTCCAATATTTGACTACAAATCAATTAAGTACTTACCAATAATTCAAGGTTTTAACAACCCCATAGTAGCTAAAACAGAGAGCAAAAGGCTTTGGTAATACAAAACTGGAATGAAAGACAAAAAACAATTGAGATATTAACATACAAATAAAATTTTACATCATAATTGTGAAAGTTAATTGCTTTTAGCACCTATTTAGACCTACAAGAATTTATTCATAAAAATATAAAAGCCAGTATAAAGTATTCTCATAATAATGCATCACTTCAATTAACCAATAGAGGTTATATATCAATTAGAAAACAGAACACAATTAGCAAATTTTACGATATTTCCAAATAGATATTAGCAATTAAATCATACATAAAAGCTATTTTGATCCTATATGATAACAAAAAAAAAGTTAAATTATTATCATAACCATATTAGTAGTTTATGTGCAAAATACAAGTTTTTTAAAGTCATGACATATAATAAAGATCAATGACTAGAATCAGCAATGAATCATGTTTCAACACTATTTGACTAAAGTATAGTTGCAGAAGGTAAAAATTTTGATGTTACAACAACAAAAAAGCAAAGAACTAGCAAGCCATCCCAAGTAGAGCAAAAACAGTATAGTATGATAGCAGAGAAATCTGCATTAACTGGAATCAAAAATATTGCTATGAGAATAAAAAATATACCTGAGTTCATGCATGTTTAACTTATAAAAAATTAGGCCACACAGAATGTAAATGCTTTACAAACAGTTTAGAGTCCAACCTAGCTGTAAAACAGAGCAACCAAAGTGATAATTAAAAAAAACCCCTATTAAATTGAAAAAAAGATTAAAAAAAAAGAAAGAGATATAAATATTTAAACTAATAATAAATCTATATAGTTAATAATAGAAATAAACTAGTTTTTCATCATAAAGCCCAGTTTAAACTATCATAACATATAACAACAAGTTGACTTCTGGCTCTCTAATCAGTTAATAAAATATTATCAAGTATACTCCTATGAGATATACTATTTTCAGCAGAGAAATCAAGAATTCTTATGCAGTTAGACTTTAAATATTTTAATATAAAAACAACAATCAATATTTAGATATTTCAAATACTTACAAGACAATATTTAAATTGTCCCTTTATAGAGTACTTAGTAAATAGTATTACAAAAGGCTTTAGATTCAATTTTACTGAGAAGTGAATAAAGAGAGTACAAAAAAAATTTAAAATTAATTAACTTAGACTCATCAGCACTAAAAAATTATATTCAAGATAAAATAATTAAAGATCATATTTGTAGTCCATTTTCAGTAACAAAACCACCTTGTAATCTTTATCAAGTCAATCCTTGTAGCTTGGTAGAAAAGAAGGACTCAAATCCAAAGGTTTACAGAGTTATATCTTATTTGTTTGCCCTATTCGGATGTAGTATCAATGATAGCATTGATGGAGTAGAGTTTGCTACAAAGTATGAAAATGTTACTCATATATTATAATGGATAAATTTATATAGCAAAGGCTGCAAACTTTCAAAATTTAATACAGATGATACTGTCTTATTGCATACTATTTATTGAAGACTTTTTTATACATATAAATAATATATACATTTAAGTCATAAAAACTACTTTTGCATTATTAATTAAAAGTCAAAATTTTTTATATATTTAGAGAGTATATGCAATTAGACAGTATTAACTATATTAAGAATGCATATTGAATCCTACCTGCACACCCAGTCGATCAATTATTACAGTGCATGAGTTATGGAAAAGAAATCTATTTCGATAAGGTACTAGCCTTTGGAAACAAAGTATCTAGTAGTAGATTTGTAAACACTATTACATAAATAGCTATGCAACATGGTATTAAGTCAATAATCTATTATATGGATAATTTTTTGATCATTTCAAAATTAGATAGATAAAAGAAATTATGCCAGTTCTTATGTATATTAGATATAATAAAAGTGCCTTTCAAAGAATCAAAATTAGAAAAGCATAGTACAGAATTGATATTTTTAGATATACTAATAATACTGAAATGATATCAGTCTTAATTTTATATCAAAAAAACAAACAAAAAATAATAAAACTGCTAAAAAACTGGTCTACTAAAAGACAATATTATATAAAAGATCTTCAGTTCTTGATTGGATCTCTAATGTAGTTATGTCAGGTGGTGCTCTAAGAAAGACTATTTGTGCAGCGCTTTATAAAAGTACAAAAATTATCAAAGAATTTCAAACACCATATTAGATTAACAAACCCAATACTGGCTAATATTTGCTAGTAGTTTAAAATAATAATACAATGGCATGGCCCAGAACTTAACTAATAGAAAACCAAATATGGCATTTACCAAATATAAATAATCTATATACAGATGCCTCAAATATAGGAGGTAGAGCAATATTTGAGAACTATTTCATAGCTTTTGTTTGGTACAATAATATAACAACAATACATCATGATACTCAAGAGTGGGAGATAGTAACAACCTTAATTTCTATATGCACATTTGCTCACCTTTGGACTTGAAAGGGATTAATAGTATAGACAAACAATTTAGCAAATGCAGAAATATTTTACTCTGAGTTTTGTAAGAATAAAAAAATCAACAAATTATTGCTCACATGTATGAAATTCAGATTTAGAAGAATTTTTCAATAAAATTAGAACATATAGCAAGCAAATTCAACATTGAAGCAGACTTACTTTCTAGAAGTAGATATAGAAAATTTTTAACCAAAAACCTTTGGCACAATATCTTCAACCCAATATCCCAACAGAATATACTAATATGATATCTGTCATTCCTTCTTAAATGCAATAGAAGAAGGCAATAGACAAAAAAAAATGCAAAGGTTGCTTTCAGACAACACATACAAGACTCAACAAAATAAGACACTGCAATAGTGCAACCATCAGATTCCACTAAATATACAAGTAGCAAATATTTTGAAAACAGAACCCCAAAGCACAAAACCTATGAAGCAGTGATTAAGAGATACTAGTTGCTAGCTGTAGACACAACTAGAAAAATAAATATAGTTGTATATAGCCTGCGTTAAAAGAGTCATTGATAAAATTTATTACAACTATACAGAGAAAAGCATTCTCTTCAACAATCAAATCATATTTATTAGCACTTACAACAAATGTATATGATTGGACACCAGTGAGAGAAAATCCGTTAATAAAGCAAATTCTAAAAACCACTAAAGCAAACCACTGTTATAAACTGGTGAGACTAAAAATACATATTACAAAAGTCTACTTAAAGCTTATAAGAATGAAGCTAAACCTAAAGCAATCTGATGATTTACTGTTTTGAACAGTAGCAGTAATCACATTTTGTGGGTTAGCATGTTTTGGAGAACTTGTTCAAAGTAGCAATTAGATAAAAGCAAGGTACCCACTAAGATTTGAAAATATTAGCACAGTAACATTTGCAACAATCCAGCTTGCTAGAACCAAGAACTATAAATTGGCAAATAGAGTATCCCTAGTGATAAACTCAACAAAAGACATTCTATGCCCCATCAAAGCCCTCAAAGCATATGTTATTCATTGCACTAGTGTATCATATGCCCCAGGGAAAAAACTAATGTTTATCAGAGCCAATAGCTCCTAGTCCACCAGAAAATAGTTCTGCAATGAACTCAAGTCAATCTTACCCAGCTCCAATGTTGCAGGGATAGCTTCAGAGCCAGTGGAACAACTGAATTAGTGCTATAAGGGTTTAGCCAATTATAATAAAAAAAAAATTTAATCACTAGGACTCAAAAGCATTTTATAAATATGCCTGAGCCTATCCAACAATGATAACACATATCCTTATCAAGACATATTCACAATAAAAAAAAATAAAAAAATAAAAAAAAATTTATACACAAAATAATTATACTAACTAAACTAACAACACCCAGGGAAGAAAATTTTCTTCTCCAGCTTATGCAATCAACCAACAAAAAAAAAAAAAAAACAATAAACAATATGAAATGTCAATAATATTAAAGAAACTAAACAACAAATAAAATGCATTTTACATTTAGACCTCACAAACATTTTTAAAAAATAAAAAAATTTTTTAGTTTCACCACAACATAGTATAGTGGAAGTTCATTTTGATTGGTTAAATTAAGAATAAATTTGATTGGCAAAGATCTTTTTTTTTATACTATCAATTGTAATTTTTAAAATACCTTTAATAAGTAAAGATAGTCATGATATATAAAATTTTTTTCCTGCAATATATAACTACTACAATAACTTAATATATTATTTTTTACCTTTAAATCTACTGTTTTTTAACAACTAATGCAATAGGATGCAAAAGATTAAGAAACTAAATGAGAAGTGAAAGTTTTGAAAGGTCAGAAGGTGTTTTAGTAACTTAAGCAATTAGTAAGTGAAAGTTGTCTTAACTATGTAGTTCTACTTTGTTTTCTATAGGTAAAAAGTACTATGTATTTGAAACTAATATTCCAAACTCTACCTTTTTATTATATTTAGGTTATAAGTAGTTTATAAATACATTTTATAGTAGCAGTGTTTAGAAACATTTGTGTATGTTATTTTATTTAGCAGATTGTGTCATGAAACCTAGAGTATCTGTTGTAAAATAAATATTTTATTTACATATTGTGAAATGAAATAATATTGTGAAATATAAATAGTTATGAACCCTAATTAATATATTGTAAGACTATAATACACACCTTTAGTAAGTATTGACTAATTTTTTGAAAGTTTTGGGAGTAATAAAATTTTATTCTGGCATAGCCAATACTTTATCCGGAGAATGATCTACATTTTTTCTGGGTATTTTAACAACCAATCAAAATAAACTTCTACTATGCTCTGCAATATGCATAACAGTTAAAAGAAAAAGTAATTGTAATAGCAATAATAGAATAATACAACCTTTGGAACACGTGATTCTATTATC